CTCAACTACGACGAGCCAACCGCAAGGAGCTTGGCCATCCGAGACCTCTTTCATCATGCCTTTGCTTACGTCATATTCACGTCCTCGAACCTACAACCTCGTGTCCTTGACACTTGATACCTCAGAGAACAAGACTACCTATACGTTCTTCTAGAAGACTACCCATGGCCATAATATTACGAATTTTTGGTCAGATTACGTGTGTGTGTGGGGGGGGGGGGTTAATTTGTTGATTACTAATACATAATTATGCTTGTATGTGGGCGGCCGTGGACTTATGTAGAACCTGGCAGGCGCTGATTCTTTAGTTTTAGTAAATGTTTTACGACACTTGCTACACCATAAGGTCATAATATAAGTGCCGAAGAATAGATGTGTTACAAGAGTGTAACATACACACACAAACAGAAGGAGGAGAGATAAGGACGATAGATCTTTGACAGGAAAGAAGGGAGCAAACCACACCAGAGCACTCACCAACCACCCACAGGCGTTGACTCTTTAGGCTTACAAATCACAGTATTGTATCATAATAAAGGCTCCTTATCAAGACCCTGTTGCTTGCTCAGTACACCAACTTAAAGTCTACAGCACTGCCATTCTTCCTGCTAGCAAATTCTAGATTTCTGCCTTATCATCATCATCATCATGCAGTGCCAGATCTGCGACAGACATCGGCGACCATGATTCTCCATTCATATCTTTGCTCGGATGCTCTAAAAAAAAAGCTACGTTTCCATGATCTTCCCCTGTTACCCATTTGTTTGGGTTCCCTAAGTATGTTGTTCTGGGCCTACCCGTGCCTCACTTGCCCTCAGTTTGCCTTATAAATAATATAATTTATTAATGGCTTCGTTAGGAAAAGCACTGTCTCCACCAAAAGACTACGCACCTCGGCAAAAACGTTCCAAATATAGGGTCTGAAGGGATCACGTTTATAACATAATACATTCATATATACATGCACGTGCAATTATAATTATCATATCGATACTATTACACAAACACATACACACACACACACACACACACACACACACACACACACACAGAGAGAGAGAGAGATAGATAGATAGA